CTAGCTTTACTCCTTTCCAGTGATCCATCCTGATGTAGTTTGATCTTATAAACCCACTTATTCCCTATTTCCTTCACTCCTGGTGGCAATGGAACTATGTCCCATGTCTGGTTCTCTTCCAAGGCATGCATCTCATCTTTCATAGCCCTGTTCCACACATCTGATTTCACTGCCTCATAATAAGATTTAGGCTCCACAAGATTGATGACATTCAGTGCAAAGCATCTGTCTTCTTTGCTTAAAGAATCAACATTCAGACAGATAGGGTACCTGGTGCTAGCATTTGCACCACCAAATGCTCCAAACTTGAGAGAAGAGTCCAGTTCATAATCACCATACCTGGTTGGCAGTTTTATGTGTCTTGAGGGCCTTCTATTATCCTCTACGCTGGGGTTATCAAGGTCTGGATCAGCTTGAGGATGTAGTTCCTGCTCATCTGAGTCAAAATAGGTGTAGTGGTCACTTCTTGGTGTTGTCCTTGGAACGGATGAGAACTCCTGCTCAGGATTCCCCCCTTCATCCGTGGATGAATGAGACTGAGGAGTAGGTTGAGCAGGATTAAGAGAAAAGGGGATGTGCAGAGATGGAGCTGGAACTGTATCAGAAGTAGTAGGAGTAGAAAGACTGGGAGGAGAGGAGGCTGTGTCAAAAGATTTGAAGGGAAGTATAGTCTCATAGAATGAAACATTTCTGGAGAAAAAGACTTGCTTAGTGTGTATGTCAAGTACTTTGTAACCTTTGAAGCCATAACGGATCCCTATAAATACACACTGTTTTGCTCGAGGAGCAAATTTTGTTCTACCATGAGCCAAGGTATTGGCATAACAAAGACATCCAAATACCTTCAAATGGCCCAAAAATGGAGCCTTCTTGTGTAACACTTCATAGGGGGTTCTGTTGTTTAGAATGGGGGTAGGCATTCTGTTGATCAAGTAAACAGAATGCAAGATAAAGTCACTCCAATAAACCAAAGGCAACCCTGACTGGAACTTCAAACATCTAGCAACATTAAGAATGTGCTGATGTTTCCTCTCCACTCTTCCATTCTGTTCAGGGGTCTCAACACAGGAGACTTGGTGTTCTATGCCTGCTGAACTAAAGAATTCACACATCTCAAATTCTTTCCCTTGATCTGTTCTAATAACCTTAACAGATTTGTGAAACTGGTTCTTAACCAAGTTGCAAAAGCCTTGGATTAACCCCCTTACCTCACTTTTGTGTTTCATTAAGTACACCCACACACATCTAGTAAAATCATCCACAACAGTTAAAAAGTACGAGTAACCATCATAAGAAACTGTGGACAATGGTCCCCAAATATCCATGTGTATCAAATGAAAAGCCTCAGGTGCAATGCTGGTGCTAACAGGGAATGGTAATTTACGTTGTTTGGACAAATGACACACATCACAGTGAGTGGTCTTGGTTCTAGCAACAGAGGGAATTACATGGCTAAGTAAAGACTGTCTATCATGGCTAGGGTGTCCTAGTCTCCAGTGCCACAGGTTGAGGTCTTGTGGGATGAAGTTGAAGATGGTGGCTGCTTGGTGTTGAAGAAGTGGTGAGGAAGGCTTTGGTTGTCTTGAAGGTAGGGCAAGATGGTAGAGTCCTCTAGTTGTGTGGGCTAAACCAATCCTCTTCTGGTTTAAGAGGTCCTGGATTTCACATTTATCAGAATGAAAATGTAAGGAATATGGGTTATCAAGGGTAAGTTTGCTAACAGAGATAAGGTTAAAAGAGAATTGTGGCACTAGGAGAACATCATGTAGTTTTAATCCACAATCTAGTGTGACTGTCCCTATACATGTAACATTAACTTTTGTGCTATTTGGGAGATAAACAAAAGTATCTTGGACAGGTGTATAACTGGAGAAAAGTGATAGATGACAGGCTATGTGGTCTGAGGCTCCTGTATCTATAATCCATAAGGCTAGGTTTTGTGTTTTACAGTTCTGAGAAGAAGATAGGACATGTTTACCTGAGAATGAAGGGAAGGTGGTGGGGTAAAGAGTGGCTGAATATGCTTGGTGGTTAATGGATGGTGAGGTGGGTGGTGAAGGTTGAGTGCCAGCACCAGATTGCAATAAAATCTTGAGTCTGTTCATCTCTTCTGGGGTAAAACCAAGTGTGGTAGATGACTTGTTCTCATTCATGACACTTCCTTCAGACACACTGTCACTTCCACTGTTCTGTGAGATAGAACCAGCAAACCTAGGAGTGCTGGAGCTTGAACCAGAACTAGAAGAAGACCCCCCATTACCACTGCCATCTCTCTGCATTTCCTGCTTCCTTTTCAGCTTCCAGCAGTCTTCAATGGTGTGGTTGTTCATTTTGCAAAATCGACAAAACTTCCTTCCTGTTCCTTCATTATTGTCTCTTGAACTGTTATCCCTGGTATTGTTACCAGTACTTCCACCAACTGCCAAAGCCAGACTTTGGCCTTTCTTGCCTCCTGCAGAGTTATCTGCCTTCAACTTCTGCTCATGTTGCAGTAAATCATCCACTGCTGTTGATACTGTAGGCAATGGCTTCTGCAACAGGAGCTGAGTCTTGATCACTTCGAACTCAGGATTAAGTCCTCTCAGGAACCTCACGAGGTAGTCAGTCTCCTGCTTCTGGATAAAAGCAGCCACAGCAGCACAGGGTATGGGATTCCCAGGTGCACAAACACATGGAACAATAGGACTAAACTCAACATATTCATCCCAGAGCCCTTTGATGGCTGTGTAATACTGACTTATAGATCTAGTACCCTGCTTACAAGCCTGAATTTCATCTTCCAAGTTCAAGATTCTAAGTGCATTAGGTTGGCCATAACGCCTCTTCAACTCATCCCATAATGCCTTTGCATTTGTGTGGTTTAACACAGACCTTCTTATCTCTTTAATCATAGAGTTCTGTAGCCAACAAAGAACTACAGTGTTGCAAGCATCCCACAAGTTAAACATATCTGCATCTCGAGGAGGAATGGGCACTGACCCATCAATAAAACCCAGTTTGTTCTTAGTCTTAAGAACTACTTGTATAGATCTACTCCACATCACATAATTAGTTCCATCGAAAATCTCAGCAACAAGGGATTGAGACATATTCTCATTTGGGTTGAGATAGTAAGGGTTACCAAATACCACTGTCTCTTGCTGAAGTTGGTTCTGGTTGAAAGTCCCAAACTGAAACCCTGCTGCTCCTGTAGTCGTCGTCGATGTACTACCACCCGCTCCATTGTTCGGCGGCGTGTTCGGCGGAGTCTGTGACGCAGACATTGTGTCGTAGGCGGCGGAAAAACCCTAGAGCTCGTTAGGCTCTGATACCATAACGAAAAGTGTAATGGGATTTGGAGAAGAAGCTCAGGTATCTCTGAGTCTCCCTTCAGCTTTTATAGCTGGAATTCAATTAAACAAAACGAGCCAGCTGTCCTTACAACATTCGTCCAAATTAAAACTAAACAGTAACTTAACGGCTATTAAGGGAAAATAAACAAAACGTTGTCGTTCACTCTTATTCACTCCACTTCTTCTCATACGTCGTCGTTCTTCTTTACTCCTTTAGTGATTCCAGCAAATCCTTCCCCAATCTGGATTTCTTCCCCTTCAGCAGCTCAACTTCTCTTCTTCATTGCTTCTCTTCTGCAACTCTGCAATCTTCAATTCTTCGATTCTATCACCTCTAGCAACGAAGAAGAAAGATCCAGAGAACAAGGTCAAGAGCTCGACGACAGTGGATTCGGACTGGCCGCCTGGTCATCGGCGGGAAGGAGCTTCGTCAGAAAAGAAGAGGAGTCGGTGGAGGACTTGTTTGTCGGCGGAGGCAATGAAGATGGAGTGGTCGCTGCTGGGGTTCGAGACGCAAGAAGACGACGGCAACGATGTTCTTATCGCAAACCCTACGCCAGCTTGGCACAATTTGGGCCGAGAGGAGCTGCAGGTGGGGTTTGATGTGGGCATGGAGGAATGAGCGGGCTGGGTGGCGAGGGGCCCACTGCGAGGCTGACCAAGGGCTGGTCGGTTCGGGCTGGGAGAGGAATACGCCAACGCCAAGAGCCAGACAAGAAAGAGATCAGTTGGTCTCGAGGAGGTATTGGGCCGAGTTTGAGGCTTCAGTCACCAATGGGTTATTTTGTGAGATTTATTTTGTAGGAACCAAACGAGAAGGAAGAAGTATGTGGGCTCATTGGATTAAAACACCGGCCATGTCTGCAAAGAGAAGTTGGGCCTAGGAAGGGCTTTGTTCTTGAATAAAGTAGACTTGGAGGAGGTTAAGCCCAATGTGAAGGGAAGGAACGTTGGGGTGTTTTCACCTCCAAGCTCATGGAGGAATTTATGGAGGAGTCCTTTGAAGATTTTGAAGATTTCAATGGGGTTTGTGATGAGGAGCCTAATGAAGAGCAATTATCTAGTTCTTATTTTGTGGAGTTCAACAAAGAGGAGAAAGACTTATCTAGCTCTGGAGAATATGACGCGTGTTACGTGATTCGAGAAGAGTTGAAAGAAGTTAGAGTTGTCGTAGAAGAAGAAGTCCTTTGCGAGCTAGAGCCCAATTGTAAACGAAGAAAGCAGAAGGTTAAGAAGACGAAAGTTGACTGCAACCTTGAGGACAAGGTTGCTTTTATCGGAGGTGGATTGTTAGAAACCCACCTTTTGTGGGATTCTCTTATTATTTATGGTAGGATAATTATTAGGAATATCAATAACTTGGGGGTTAAGTTTAGGTTTATTATCAGGTTTATTCCAGTATTTCCTATAAATATGTTTTCGGCCATTCTTTACGATGAAGTAAAGATTAATCAAAGAATTATCCCCAAACCCTATTCTATTCTCTCAATCTCGACTATCCTTCTCCCTCAAAAGCTTCTGTTGTTCTTCCCCAATTCTTCTCCCAATCCCTAATTTCTATCTCCAAATCGCTAAATCCCTTTTTATCTATCCGGTTATGTCAATCCTTAGAAATCCAAATAAGCGGGTTTCTAACAAACGTGTTGCACCATTCACAACAAAAATTGACACGAACTCGAAGTATCTAGATCAACTGATTCATGACATAATCGCTTGGTTGCACGTAACTCTTGATATCATCAACATTTTCTTGACTTATCATTGCACTTGTAAGATACCAAGACACGTTCTACTCTCTTGGTTGCCTTCAAATACACCTATACATCACAACTCTAAAACACCACACACACGCACACAATCCACTTGTATGCATACAATACAAACACGCGCAAAATATTCGTTAAACCAAACTTGTAACGTCTCTCTCAGAGACCACCTATACATCACTGTAAAGTTCTAGAGCAGTACTATATGACATTGACAAGCAAAATACTGTGTCTCAGCCATTACCCTGGACCATGCTTCACTTACTGGTCCCATGCCACCGTCTTTACCATTCGATATCTCAACTGAAAGAACAACAAAAATAGAGTCACCAGAATTAAACGATCAGGGTTCAACAAGAATCAAACAAGACATCTGGTCAGAATTTATAAAGCCAAACCAGAAGAAACCAACCATAAGGCAGCAGAAGAGAAATGATACAGTCGTGCCTAGTTTCAGACCGCTTGGCGATGCTTCTCGTTTTTTGTACTCGCTATGCTCTCTGTCAATTCGCGGCCCTTGGTATCATAAGGAATCAACAGCACTGAAAACAGCCCAACAAGAATCACACCTACGAACAACAGTAGCGCCTCGCGTTGATGACATGATTCCATCAGCTTCACAGCCGCAAATGGACATACCATCCCACCAATTCTGCCCATGCAGTTTGCAATTCCGTAACCGGTTGATCTGACTGATGTTGGGTACAGCTTCATCAACAAAAAATGCAATACAAGAAAAAGATTACCACCCTCCTTAACGCCAAATCAGGAGGATTAACATAATTTTAAAGTGGAGCAAGTGTTGATTTCTATGCTCAGTCCATGATTAAGTACCACCGGAGACCACTGAATTCAAACCTGAGATTTTCAGATGTGTCCAGCTAGTTCATGTTTATATCAATTATGGAGGGGAAACAACAAAACGTTCTATTGCTATCCTAGACAATTGGATGAAATGCCAGCAAACTGAGACAGGCATGGTAAGTAAATTAATCTAGCAGTCTAGATGCCCTTCCAGGCTCGCCTAGTGCAAGAACGTAATATAGTGTCTGAGTTAACACCTATATCCCCAACAATGATTATCTACCGCAAGAACTGTCCTCAGTTGACTTCCACAGCTTCAAAGAGCACATGCCAAGTTCTGATATAGGATCTGACCCACAAAAGACTGGGCTCACCAACTAGTAATGGCCAGCATCAGAATGCAATAGTCATACGAAGAGATTAAGAAAGGGCATTTCAATAATCCTGACAGATGGCTGCTAAAGTAGAGCAATTGGCGGAATGTCAGATTCATTTCCATGTTTGAACTATGGTATGTTAGGGGAAAATCATGAGTGTTCTCTGGTTTTTTGGTTGGTAAAAGTAAATGCCATAATAACCAATTTTCATATGAAAGAGAAGAAAACATTTACCTCCGGAGCCATTAGAGAGGCAACTGAAAAAGTTCCCGTGATGCAGATTCTTGCCCCAAATAAAAGAATGGTGGTCACAAGTGGAGATCGATGGATGACCAGTGGCAGAACAAACACGACACAAATGAAGAACAGAGTCGCCATAGAAATTTTGCGGCCAATCCTATCAACGAGGAGAGCTGATATTAAGAGGCCCGGACATTCTGACAATGAAAAATAGTAGCATACTCAGCAATGTTTTCTTGAATAGATAGATAGATAGATGCAAAACAATAGAGAAGAGATGCAGTTATTAAAATGCAAACCTGCTAAAGTAGTAATGAAAACATTTTTATAGTCAACGCCAGCATCCGACTTGTTGTTGGATTGTGTTCCGTTCGAATTGCAATGAGATTTACGGTTTAACTCAGTAGTGAGCAAAACGAGGCCATAGTAAGAAAATGCATTCCCAAAGAATATGAACCATAAGAGTATGGTTGAGCGAATCAATCTTGGAGAAAGCAACATCCGTAGAGTCTCAATGACACCCAAGTCAGAATCTTTCCATCTAGGGGCAGAAGAAAGCGAATCAGTGGCAGATGCCTCTGGCTTCGAGATTTGTCTTTGTAGCTCAATTTCACGATCGCTAAGAAGGACACCAGGAGGCAGTTCCTTCTTATTCAATTTTGCTATTTTTTCCATAACCCTAAGAGCATCATCTTTTCTACCTTTAAGGCAGAGGTACCTTGGGGACTCAGGTGTCAGAGGGTAAAATACAAGGAGACCAAATGAAGGGAGAGCAGAAAGACCAACCAGCCACCTCCAACCCAATCTTGGCATAATGATCTGAATATTACCATATAGGGCATTAGTGACCACTAAAGTGACTAATTAGGAAATAAAATTTGCACTGATTAAACTAAAATTAAGGAGTTATGAGATTTCATGAACTTACCCATGCCAAACCAACCTCAAAAATAGTTCCAACCGTCCAAAATGAATAGAAAATAATCATCCACATGCCTCTGTTTGTTGCAGGTATAAACTCCAAGAACCAGGCGAAGAGTACAGGCCCTCCTCCAAGGCCAACACCGACCAAACAACGAGCAATGAGCAAAACAACATAGTTCCAGGCAAAGGCACTAAGAAAACCAGCTAGAGACGTAACGAATGCTGTGACCACAAACCCATTCCTGAACAGACATTAGAAAAGCAGTAAAGAACAAAATCAAAATCCAGTAAGGCGCCGGCATGAAATAGGAAAGAAGCACCAAAGTCACATCAGTAATACGTGAACAGCATACACATATAAAATAATTAATAAGACACTAAAAGGGACAATGATGCAATTACCACTTCAAATTGGCACTAACTAGGAACTACAAGCCTTTATTTACTTAATAAAGTAACTCCTGCCAGAGGAAAGAATCATGAAGCACGCACTTACCTCCTTCCCAATCTGTCCGAGATCACACCCCACATGTATGCACCAAGTAACATGCCGGAAAATACCACTACAGACAGTAAGGTCTCTTGATTGGCACTTAGATCCCACTGAGACTTCACCGATGGACCAATAAACGAGAGAATCATCACCTCCATTGCTTCTGAAATCCAACCCATACCAGCATAAAGGCAGACAAAGATTTGGAACTTTCCAAACCCCACGGAGAGGAGAGCTTCATCCACGTTGTAACCTCCATGCTGATCCGCCATCTGCAAAGAGGAGGATCACATAGAGAAGTTCAGGGCATAGGGAATATTTCAATTGAACTGCATAATTCTCTCGGTGAGAAACAAACAACAAAGCAGAGCCCACAATCGAATCCTAGCACAATAATAAGTATTATATAACAATACACCCCATGCCCATTAGACTGAGATACAGAGATAGGCAAAGCATATCAGAAGTCAGAAACCACGAGCCAGTCTAATGAGCTGATGAGCATACATGCACTATTTCTTAGCAGAATCATGCCAGAAAATCACGCTACCCATTAGAGGATACCTGGAAACTGAATGGTAAGTAAGGAAAAGGTTGAGGAATGATCATGTTTTGAATTTTAGGAATAAAGCACTCTAAAGTTCTAATGGCTTAAAGCGGATGAAACCAAATTTTAACTAACTGAGCTGTTGGTGGGTAATAGATGACTTCAAAAGCTGTACTGCCTATGAACAAATTAACATGCAACGGGGACACACATTCTTCAGAGACCAGGAAGCATACAAATTCAGTAAACGACATAAATTCCCAAATAAGATCAAAGGCGCAATTGTCTTTGCCAATCAAAAGCAACAATTTTTAGCAAACCTCGGCAGAGTAGAGGAGAAATGCAGATGTATCCCCTTCTTCTTCTTCTTGGTCTACCTCTGCTTAGTGAATTAAGTCTGCGCTCCTTCTCTGGCTAAGCAGAAAACCAGGAAATTGTCCGAGTGAGAAAACCAGTGAAGCTGGGGGATATGATATAAGAATCGGCAGCATAAGGGGAGGGCAGTTTATGGTGGAAGTAGGTGAGAAAAGAAAGAAAGCTTCACTTTGCCATGAACGGGCCCCACTGAAATAGATGGATAAGTTGAACTCGCCGCTGGCAACGACCATCGGAACTTGAGTGTTCGGTTTCGGCATAATTTCAAAAAGCCACGACAACTACAGGAAGGGAAATTTTATTCGGGCGAGCGTCGTCAGCAACAGCTAGCCACTCCCTGTCGCCATTAAAATCACAATCCTTCGAAACAGCAAAGCTTTGTGATTCTTCGGGCCAATCGATCAGCGGCCGGCCGGCAGATGACGCCGCCCGCATCAGAATGTTCCTTACTTTGGCTTCTTCTACTCTGTCCTCCTCCCATCCCTGCGTTGCGTTGCGATGCGGCAATTGTGGTTCGGTAATGTGTGAAGAACTGGACTGACGCAACGGATCATCGCCGACCAATTTCGCTGGTGCAGGTATCATCGTCCGCCTGGCAAGCTCTGGTTTTTGGGTGTATTGGCCCACCCACAAGTCCAGTTGGCGTATTTTAAGCCCAATCAGCCCGTGATCCACAACATCGTGGACTGTGGTATTGGGCTTGATCTGATTGGACAGTGAACTCCTCTAAACGACAACCTTAAGGATCAGTTTGAAAGAAACGACGTCGTAAGCAATCCAACTTGAATTTGCCTTCAGCACCAAAATATCCACCGCCGGCCTGGCCTGGCTGGCCTCTCTTTCCCGACGATCCTCCCCAGTCTACTCCAGAGCCCTGTAATTTGTCAGAAACGATTTCATTCTGATCGGATACGGGAGGCTTTGCACCAATCGCCGGCGAGAGATCAAACTGAATCCCAAAATTGATCGGTGGGGAAGATATAAATGGGAGATCCGGACAAGGAATGGGATTTTTATCTTCGGACCTTATCCAGCAGTGCTAGAGACTCCAATTTGGCCAGCGACCCCGCTTCCGATCCGTCCCTCCTTAATTCTGTAAGAATCTTCGTGTTCCTTGTTGCTATTCCGTTTTGTCTTCGTATTGGTGAGTTAGATAGAGAGAATAAGACATTTCTGATTCTTGCCTGCCTCCTGTAGGTGAGGAAGCTGTGCCAGTTGTGTAAAGCAGAGAATTCGGAGGATTTGGTTGCTAGGGTTTATCCGCACTTTAACAAACTCTTTCAGCGCTCTGTGGCTTCGCTCCCTCAATCTAAGTCCTCTTATGGACTTCTCTTGCTGGTCAGTTTATGACTGATTTTTGTGTATTTTCCTTCTGGTAAATTTTCTTCGTTCTTAGTTTCATTCTCATGAAGTAATAATTAAGTAGGATTTAGGAACTGGAATTGGCACACCCCTGATGCATAGGCTGTTGTTACATTTTTTCTTCTTTCATTCAGGATATTATTCAGTTTTTCCTCGACTTTGGAGAGATTGTTCTACATGATGCTGATCCCAGTCTAAGGTCATTTTTTCGCTCGTGCTTGAGTCGGTAAGGTTGCTCCTATAATTTTTCTTACGTTGCTTTCCACTTACAGGTCCTTGGCAACAACGTATTAACTGAAACAATAAAAAGCATTCATTGAAAGACTTAGTTAACTAGCGTGTGTATCGAGACTTGATTAGTTCGAACCGTAACAAAGAGAGCATGAAAAATTGTTTTAAATGAATTGCGTAGGGCAGTGCCTCTGAGTTGCATTGGCTGAATCTTGATTCTCCTCCTGATGGTCGTTTTCGTCTTTGTTAGATCCACGAATGCCTCGTTTTCCTTTTTGTCACTGATCAAGATTAGTGGAGTTCAGACTCTTATGCACTTTTAGTCTCCAGAATGATAACTATGCTAAGTTTCATCAGTTTGGTTTCCACCACGAAGCGGCCATTATCCTAATGTTGATTGCAGTGAATTTGCAGATCTAACTGTGGCAGAGGCAACCCTTCATTTTCTGAATGTCAACAAGAAAAGGCTTCTGGCTTCTTTTCCTGCCTTACTACCTCAAGTATGAATGATACTCTACAAAACACTGTGTTCAATATATTCCATTAATTCCATGACGGCTTTATTTTTTACATGAAGGCACAGTAGGAATTTGAGAGGAAAAGTATATGAAAAGAAGAAACCAATTGTAAATTGGTTTTTAACTTCTGCTGAAAAAGGAAATTCCTATTCCTCTCTTCTTGAGTTGCTGGCAAGTGGCAGCTGTCTAGATACTCACTATGTAGTGGTGTTTGTGCTTTGGGGCAGGCAAACATTTCTTGTTCCATATATAACTTACAGTGTTGTCATGACTAGCATCTTTCATTAAGCAAATCCTGAAATGTGGAAAAACGTCAAAGGAGAAGTGAAAGTTTCAGAAAAAAGATATAAACTACATACAGCTGTGATTGTACTATTAGAGATAACCTAGAGCTGATTTCTGATTGTGGAATATGCTGCGAAAGGATGATTTGTCCATATTATATTGTGCCTTATCCTGCTATTCACGGATTCTTTGTGTCCAAAATAGTTAATGTTGAATGTGATGTTCTGCATTTGGATGCAGTTTTTTCCACTGTTACTTAAGCTGATAGCCTGGAATGGAGAAAAGTAAGATCTATATCCTTTTTGCTGCGTTTTTTTCTTATGCCCATAACCTTCTCTTAATCTGCTGTCACTTGTCATACGATATGATAATGTTCAGTATTGCGTGTTATAGTCAAAGCAAATCATTTTCTCGACTTGATGGTAAAATTAGATCCTTTGTTGATATATGTGCTTTCTGATGTCGCCATTCGCTTTATAGTTGACACTTGACCCTATTTGGTAGTCCTTTTAAATGTTTGGGGGAGGGTTGGGGGCTCTGTCATGTAGAGATAGAGTCTGCTGTTTTGTACATATGATTTGACTTGGGGGTTGAGTTAATTAGAGTGGCTGGCTAACTTCTTAGCTCTCTTTTCCAGGTTACTGAATTCATTCTTAAAGGTCTTTCCTGAACTGATATCGCCTGCTTCATTTCTTCCTCTATTTCCGTCCTTAGTGGATCTGCCAAGTAAGTTCTTTGTCCAGCTGTTGGCACTTAACTAATTTTCTCCACAACGACAGATTCAATTGCTGTTTAATTTGCTCTATTGGGATTTGAACTATTCTGTGGAAGGTTTTATGGTTTATCCGGTTGAATAAAGGTTTTCAGTTCCAGATTGTATATGTCGAATTATCCATTGTGACAGGTAATAGGTGGAAAAAAACCTCACTCTTAAGTAATGTGATTATCACTAGAAGGGACATTGTCAAACTGTCCTCTGACATAGCTCTTCCTTTGGTATGAAAAGTAGTTCTAGATTTCTGGTGTGCTCTAAAAGGTGATGTGTCTTTTATTCATTTCCTCTTCCCCTTGACATAACGATAATCACGTCTGCTTTTCCTCTGTATCAGTGTTGGTAGTGGCATTGGAAAGGGTGGAGCGAAGTTCGGGTTCCCTTATTGGGAGCAGTATTGCCTCAATCCAGAACACAACGGCTCCAGAGGTTATTTTTTGGACACGTCCTATTTTCTTGCTTTGCCAAGACATTTTTGTACTACTATCAGCTCAATTTTGTCTTGTTGCAGATGTTACTGGCTCTGATGGATGAAGCTTATACTGGTTCCACTATAGGAGATGGTGGGGCTGGCAGTGAATCAGAGGACATCAATGCGATTGATTCTGCTGATCCTTTGTTTCTAGAACTTCTGAAGGATGAGAATGACGGATTAGCTGTATGATCCCTTTTTATTCTCAAGTCTTTTAAAAATGTCTAGAATGTGTAAGCACAGAGCAGTGAAATATTTGTTCCATTTGAGAACTGCTGGAGCATTCTCCTTTATTCCTTAGTCAATCCTGCAATCACGTGCTTTTTATCTCTTTTCACATGTTCATTCCTCCAATAGCATCGATTTATCTGCTATAATCAGTAGGCTATATAACTGCCTCTTCATATCTTTTGAAAATGCTTGGTTATTTTCCTTGCTCTTTTGACTTTAACATCTATTTTTCAATTGAAGAAATTTTGAACCGGATAGTTGAGAAGTTGAATTTTATGCCTCCGGGACCTGTATGGAAAAATATTTAACTGAAACTGTCAAGTTTCTTCATGCTGTTCAACAAACTTAATTTTATATTGCAGGAGCGTCATAGAACATCTCCCAGTATGGCTGCAGCATTGCAGGCTGCAGTTAATGTTCCTCAAACGGATAGGCTGAAGCAATCGCTCAAAATAGGGCCTGCCCTTCTTGACGTGTACTGTGCTTTAGCAATACGCGATGTCAATGATTGTATGTATGCTTAACACCATTTTCAATTTTTACTTTGAGCTTCTTCTTTTTTTTTCTTTTTTTTTTTTTTTGTGGAGAAATTTTCATGCGGTGTAGAAAGTATCACTTCTAAAGTTTCATGTATTTTTTCACCACCATTACAGCTCTGATCTGTGCCCTTATCCCATTGATTATGGCAAGAAATGATGTACTATTTCCTGACAAAAATTACTCCTACCAGGTAAAGTTGTGCTTACGGACTCCTTAGTTGTTATTTCATTGGTCTGTGGTTGCTTATTCTACCTTCTGAATGATTTGGCAGTAATGCAGATCATGCCTTCTAATTTTGTAAAGTTTAAGTGGCTGGTTCTTCAGTTTTCGTCGATGTTTTTATCTCTTCATGCTCTGTCATGTAGTTATCAGGCAATGTTTGCATAGTGTGTTTCAAATACATCGACAAGGACTTATAATTGTCTATATTTCCATTTCTGACAGGTTCGTAAAAGGCTTTTGGAGTTTATGCTTGCATCATTTCAGCGTTCTCCAAATTTTATAGCTCTTCTGAAGGTATGTTGCTTTGCTTCTTCAAACACCTTTGGTCTCTGAATGCATGCCGATGTAAGAGTAATTTAGTGGAACATAGCTTTTGGTTTTAGCTAGCATTTTTGGTTGAAGTATGGATCGTGTTGGGGTTGGTGCAACAAAATGTGGCGAAACACAATGACTCATGTGGGATGTTTATCCCTAATTGGAAGTTCATACATTTGGTATCCCTGAGAAAGATGCTTTGTAATGGCTTCAGCTGTGTTCCTCCTGATTCAACTTATTGCAGAAACCTATTATGGACAGGCTTGGAGAAGCATATGACAGTTCTGCAAAGGTGAGAATGTAACAATCACCATGAAGTCATTGGATAATATTTCCTATCACACAGTTGAAATTTCCAACCTTTTCTCTGTCTTCTGCCCTTCCCTTTTCACCTTTAGCAATTTTGTTTTCTCTTACAGACAGAACTAGCATTACAGTTGTGTTGGGCGATCGGTGAACATGGCGGCGGCGGTGCATCTCACAAAGATGCTGCACGCGAGCTTTTTGAGAATCTGGAGCTACTTCTCTATGAAAACCTATCATCTAGGTGCGGTTTTCACTCTTGTGTGCTTCCCGTTGAAGATTCTATGTAATCTCTTGCATTTTTCTGGGCATTGCTGACTCGCTGAGTTCCTGCACTTGAAAGCCGGCTTGGCCTAAGGGAATCCGCACTTGGATCTGACAGCGAAAACTTGAGAAAGTCATCACAATCCAGGCTTCTGTGTTTCGTTGTAACAGCTATCGCAAAGCTGGCCACACATCACCATGAATTGTTACCAAGAGCTCGTGTGTCCTTAGGCAAGGCATGTTCCAGCTGAAATTGAATTCTCCTGAAAGAAGCATTTGATTAATTTCCAGCCTGCTTGTCATTTGACAGCTACTTATCAAACTATATATGGTGAGCTGAAGCAACATTCGGTTGCAGGTAGCTAGATCTCGCATCTCAGATGTGAGGGTTTGGAGGCGTGCTCGAGATTACCTAGGTTTGATCGATGATCCTGCAATATCCTTGTCCGTCTTGGGGCCTTCACAAGGGCACGTGCAAAAGCCAGGAACTGTGAACTGGAGGGATGGCGGCACCAAAATGATCGCACATATCCCCTTCTACCTCCTCGGCGAACAGGAAGGTGCACATTCCTAACCGTCACCCTCTGGATTCGTCAACTGGAGTCGATTGATCACTATATCTTGCTTGCTTCTCGTTTAGTCTTGGTAATATAAATTACAGACATCAAGGTGCACCACAGTTTTTGCTATTAACCATTTGCCATGGATAAATTTACCTGCAGGTTCCCCCTTCCACGACTTCTCATTCTCTGATATATTCCCGAGAACATGATGACTCTGCTGCCTCGTGCTTCTTGAAGGTGGAGAAGCCTCTGGATAGCGTCTCTGTGATTTCAAACTTAGTCTCGGATTGCGAGTTGATATTGATCTGGGTTTTCCCATGTAGCGAAAGTTCCCCTTTTCTGTGTGCATATACATGGAATCCCTAATTGCAGGCGACCTTTCTGGTTGAAACATTTTTAAATTTTTTTGCTTCATAGAGTTCGTGAGCAGGTAAATCGTTGAATGTTGCTCTGCCATTACACCATACCTAGAAAGAACATGTAGCTTCCATCGTGTCGAAGAATCGTATTACTTAATCAGTGGATTCGAATCCGAACACTCTTGTCTCATACATGAATCTTTGATTGTGAAATTAATAGTGCCTTATTCAATTTCTCTGTTTTATCAAAATTACTCTCTAGACAATAGTACTAGTGGACACTAGACTGTTAATTATGGTTGATCGGTTAGTTCAATTGGCCGGTTCGACCCGATTTAACATTCGCGGTTCTATGCCTATTTCTAATAGGGGTGGGCAACGGGACGGGACGGGATACCCGTCCCGTTTAAAACGGGTACCCAATCCCATTTGAAGAGGAAACTCTATCCCATATCCCAAACCCATATGGATAACGGGTACCCGTTACCCGTACGGGACGGATAACGGGTACCCAAACTACCCGTATATACCCGTCTAATTGGTGGCAAAACTTGAGGACCACAGAAGTTTAACACAATTAAAACAAATACAAATTTACTAAATAATGAGAAGTTGCCACCAGTATTTTAACACACACTTAAACAATTAAAGAGAGTTAAATAGAAACCTACTGTCAAATAATGAGATACCTACTGTTTAAACAATTAAACAAACCTACAAACTACATTATCCGAAAGTAAAAGAGAAGCTACAAGCAATGCGAACATTTAACACACAACAACTTCTTTGGCTCCAAAAAGCAGCAGCAAGTTCTTTGTCGAATAATGAGAAACCTACTGGATATATAATTGAATCCCTTTAATTCCCCAACACTCTCGTCCTTCCCTTTTTCATCCGTAGTTCACCAACGTACTTACCCCATCTTTCAATACATGCATCATTGGCTAATTTAATTACATGCATTAAGGTATCAAAATCCATTCACTTTCGTGCACCCCTACCGCCGTCACCCTTACACGAACTTGTTGATTATGTATTGTAGGAAATTTTTGCTAATGGGTATTACGGTACCCGTACTACCCAAACGGGTATTAATGGGTAACCAGCGGGTACCCAATGTAGAAATTATTGATCCCATGTCCCATTCCGTAAAGAAAATTATGGGTATTTGAGTACCCGTAACCCTAAAAAACGGGACGGGTATGGGTATACCCAAATACCCGTTTCCCGTTGCCCACCCCTAATTTCTAACAAGAGAAAAACGATAGCACAGTGTACGGGTACGGCAAGTCGTTTTGAGACCTGACAGATCCGTAAACGTCCTCTAATCTTCTACTTCTACCTAACCAGGGAAATGGATGGAGAAGGAGAGAGAACTTCGAGGAACCGAAAATGGCTATTGTTCGAGCTCTCAGAGTGCCCCTCAGACTCAGACCGCGCTTCTCATCTCTCTCCTCCATCGCCGGATCCGTAAGATCTATGTCTCTCTCTGAAGGAAGTAACTGATCAGAGAAGTTGCTATTTCGTCTTAACAGTGCTAAGTTCCGCGGAAATGGCTTCTGAATTTACTTCCTCTAGTCTCTCTCCCACCCTCTCGTCAATTGAATCGGTCCTTTTCTAAACCAACAGATTAGCACGTTAGTGATCGGGGAGCACGAAGGAGGCGCCGTGAAAGCGCCAACTCTGAGTGCAGTAGAAGCTGCAAAGTACTTGGGTGAGGGCAACTCCGTATCCGTTCTATTGGCGGGGACAGGTTCTTCGCTTCAAGACGCCGCCGAACATGCTGCCTCATGCCACCCCTCCATTTCGCAGGCACTCTTTCTTCAACTATTCTCACGGTTTGCCCATTTCGCGAGCTTCCCTTTCCTGTGAGGGTCTATGATGTGTTGATGTTCTGTGGCAGGTGATTGTAGCTGATTCGGATCATTTTGTTCATCATCTAGCAGAGCCTTGGGCTAGATTGGTTCAGTTAGTCCAGCAGAGAGAAGGCTACTCCCACATTGTTACTGTATCGAACTCGTTTGGGAAAAATGTGCTTCCCCGAGCAGCTGCCCTTTTGGATGTGTCTCCAATTACGGATGTTGTTAGCATTTCTGGACCGAATCAGTTTGTTAGGTTGGTTTCAGCTTGTGTGTTTTGTGTTGGAAGTTGTTCAAGTTTAATGCTTTCTTTGGTCTGAAGATCTTAGAACCTTTGATTGATTGCCATTGACTGCCACACTGTGTGAAATGTTGTTTGCTTTATCTGGTTTTGTATTTTAAATGTTAGGCCGATTTATGCTGGGAATGCCCTCTCTACTGTCCGGTATACTGGGAACAGCCCTTGTTTGTTGTCTGTTAGATCGACATCTTTTCCTGAACCTACAGTTGCAGCAGACTTCAGGGCCGAAAAGGCTCCTATTTCGCAGGTTGATCTCTCGGCCTTTGATGAAGGTTTGTTTGCCTTCTCTTATTCCGGTACTAGAAATTATTCTTGAAGTCCATGCGGTCACCTTTGAGCTTCTGATAGCTTGTACAGTCTATGGATTACTTGCTCATTGTCGATGTCATGACAGTTTCATTTCATGGCTATGTGACATATGTGTGACACATTCATACTATTGCATTACAGATTCCATAAGGAAGTCTAGATATGTGAAGCTCACATCACAGGAGACGGAACGCCCTGATCTAGGAAATGCTAAAGTTGTGGTCACGGGAGGTAGAGCCCTGAAAAGCGCGGAGAACTTCAAAATGATCGAGAAGCTTGCAGAAAAACTTGGTGCAGCAGGTAACAGTTTGAAGTGGTGGTGGCTTGTTTCTTTTGCATCCAACATTGGGAAACTTCCTTTCTTTTTCTTGGACTAACAGGTTTATCTTCATCCGTATTTGGTTCCCCGTCCATAGGATTTTCTGAACATGTTTTCTGTTTGTGTTTAGTTGGAGCCACTCGAGCTGCTGTCGATGCAGGATTTGTTCCAAATGACCTCCAGGTACTGCTTCTGATTCCTGCTTTATGTCAGGATATCGTCTCAATTAGTTAGATCACAATTCCTGCACTAGATAGTGTAAGCAGTAGTTTTTTAAAACAAAAATAGAAAATAGAAAGATAAGTGTATGCAGTTAGCTTTTAGTAGCCAGAATCTCGTATTCCTTGAATAAATTCAGTTAGGAAAGCTGCTCTTAGAATCCATGTCAAAGTAATGGCACTTGACGGCACTTCTATCTGTTTCACTGGGCCATTTTAAGTGGCGAATGTTCTTCTTTCCAGGTTGGCCAGACTGGAAAGATTGTTGCCCCGGAGCTATACCTGGCTTTTGGAGTATCAGGTGCCATTCAACATGTAGCTGGGATGAGAGATTCCAAGGTGATAGTAGCAGTTAACAAAGATTCAGATGCACCAATTTTCAAGGTGAGAAGTACACTCGGAACAACAACCTAAATGCAGTTACCTAGTCCATTTTCTTTCATGAACGAGGAAGCGAAAGTTGTCTGATCGTTCCATCGTCATAACTATGCTAGAACAGGAAACGCTTTGGAACTCTTATGGTTGATTAGCATTCTTGACGGCTTTGTGTGCCAGGTAGCTGATTATGGGCTTGTTGGGGACCTCTTTGAGGTGATTCCGGAGTTGTTGGAGAAGCTCCCAGAAAAGTAGGCAACAGCTGCTGCAGGTTCGCAAGCAACCGGAACAATTGGTACCCGCAAATCCATCATCTGTTAATTGTCAATACAGCACCAACCCTTTAATAATGGAAGAAGCATTGTGGACAAATAGGGAACACTCTATTTGACAATGGATTCGTGGCAAGTTGTGGCATGGTTTTTAAGTCGCTTTAGTGTGGTTTCCATTTGGGTTTTCGAAAGTAGAAACCATCCTCATTTGGTTTCATGACGCGAGGTAAAGCAAAGAAAGAAAAACTGATTTATACGGTGGACTGGTGGAGACTCAGAGGTGAGGGAATATTTTAGATGTTTTAGTTTAGCCAATTAGATTCTACAAGTTGCAGTAGAATATACCAATTTGAAATTCAATAAGTAGTATCAAAGCGAAAGTTATTCTTAGTATGTTTTGTTGGTGCGATTTAGCCTGATCTTCCATAAGAAAAAAAGAAAATCGTGCCATGTCATCATGAAACCTAACTTTGATCAAAAGCAGTGATGACGAAACCTCCAATTAGACGATAGAGAAAAATTAAGAACATCGAAAATTAACAAGGAATGAAGAGTTCCTAATTCCTTAATTATGAGTACGGAGAAATTAAGCAAGACCAACCAATTACTCAAATTGGAGCACTCATCAATTTTTATCTTATAGGAAAAAACCTTAGGAAATTACTCTTATGATGCTATAACCTGATGCATAATCCAATTAGAATTCGTCATATCAGCGCCTCTTTCTCTTTTCTCGAAAACTTTTAATTTTCCTTTCCTTAATCTTTAACGTACGATTTCTCATTCGTTTTAAGTCGGAATTTAATTTTTTTGCACAGTTAGATCAGATTAATTGTGCTCTTCAAAATGATATCTACTTTGATATTTTTTGGAACAAAAAAAAATTGTCAGTTATTACCAGTTTATGTCATATGGTATTGACTGGTATTAAATAAGAGCATATCATATGGTATGAAATTGGTAACGAGAGGTATGAACTTTTTTCAGCCAGAAAAATTTGAAAACCAATAGATCATGATTAAATCATTCATTCTGTGCAAAAATTTTCGAAACCGGCTAAAAAACGAAAGAGATACTATATGGTATGGAGTTGGTAAAGAGAGGTATGAAAAAAAAAAAATTCTCAAAAAATATTGAAAATGGATAGCATTTTGTAGAGTACAACGAACTCGTTCCATCTGTGTAAAAAATTGAAATCCGAGTTAGAATGAAGAAGATATGATCCAATCAAGAAAACTATGGAAAATAAATTCCTTTAATTCTCCACCATTAGATCTGCAGCCACTTAAAATAAGGGTCTAGATTTGGTTACTCATAATTATGCACCCTAAGGTTATGCACCCTATCTTAAGCCGGAAAATAACAATGTTTTATAAACCATACCCAAAACTCAGGAAAATCCAAAATTGCCATCAACCCTCCACTAGCAAATGCCATACACCCTCTTAAACAAGGAACTCTACTCTGTTGTCAAAGAGATTATTCGTTTGGAAAGATAATCGAAAAACAAGACAATTTTTCTAATTCCCACTTTATAAAATGAGTCAATTCGAAATGTTTGTCTCCACCCCAGTCAAGTGTAATTACCTCAAAATGAGTCAATTTAAAATTTCTCAAGCATAATTGCTTCATCTAAATAGTAAATTATGTGATGCCAAACTGATCAATTTGTCCGGATTGTCTCAAACGAAATAATTAGGTCAAATTGATCTGTTAGAATTCCTGATGCAAACTAACCCTAAGCCAAATTTGCGGGTTTAAAATGAGCTAACTTATCCATATCAAATTTCTTTCATTACCATAACTAAACCTGTTCAACAAAATTAATAGGAAACTGGTTCTAATTATTAATTAATATAACATGAAGATTTCTAATCATGCTACAGGTATGTGGTAACTGCCCAGTATTAAATTTATCTAACTGAATTGCTTACAGTTTCACTTCCCCCCCTAAAAAATCAATCCAATAGGTGAGATTCATCCCCTAATGACATTGACTATCAACAACAACAACAACAACGCCTCTTTCACCCGTTTCATAGTTCATCAATTCAATAACCTTCTCTTTAATTCCCCATAAAGACAACCTTATTTTCATTAATTAAATCATCAATCCCACCATTACCACTATATAAACTCATCGAACTTGACCACTATACTGCCTCAAATCTCACACACAAGAAAAGAAGAAATATAGAGATTTCGATCAGGTTGGATATCAAGATGGTGCCAGTAGAAGATGAGAAAGCTCTTGTTTCGGAGTGGTACTGGTACTACTATTGGTGGTGGAACATCCCATGAAGAAAGCTTGAACGTGCGGAAAACAGTATATGTAATAAGGAAGTGAAAATTCTCCTGTTTAGGAATATGATTATGAAGCAATAATATGTAATTTTCACTTATAAGTCAATGTGTATTGATTTTAGGGCTAATACCACTACAACACCCGAACTATCGCGAAAATGCCACTTGTGTCCTATTGTTTCCAATATTCCATCTGTGTCCTGAACTATGATTCCGTTAGTGTTGACTTTTGTTGACCGTTAGTTTTTAACAGAAAATCTAGTCAGCACTGATGTGGCAGCTGACGTGGAATTTTTAATATTATTTTTTTCCATCTAATATTAATAAAATAAAATAAAAAGAAATAATTAAAATATAAAATAAAATAAAAATCCTACCTCTTCTTCCCCTAACCTAATTGAAACCCTAATCATCACTCTCTGCCTCCCTCCCTCATCTTACGCCGCCTCCACCCTCCAAACCAAACACCTTCTTCATCGACCCCTTTCCCATTCCGCCTGCCGTCGCCCCTTCGAGACCCTGCGCTTCCGACGATGACCTCGCCGACCCCGCGCCTCCCCAATCCCCGCCTCACCGACTCCCCGCCTCACCGACCTCGCCCGCCGCGCCTCGCCGACCTCGCTCCTTCCTCTTCTTCTCCAATCGCCCGAACAGAGACTGAGGCAAAGACAGAATGGACAGAGGCAGGCCCCCCGCCGCTCGCCCCATCGATTGGAGCCAGTAGGTTCGAAATCCTAGAAAGCCAGAAACACTTGAAATCCATATTGCGATTCTTCAGCGGTGACCAGTCCTACATTGGTTGTAATACAAAAACCACATTGCTTACCAAAATCGAGAAGGGGCTAGGTCGAGGAAGAAGACGACGGGGAATTCGAAATTGATGGCGCAGAGAGGAATTTGCGACAGCTTCTCAAGGAGTTTGGCGAACAACGCAGAAAAAAACCCAGATCCCGCATCTACTACCCCCACGCCCTTCAATTGAATCGAACGCGACGACCTTGTGAGTTCCCATCGGTGGTGAAAACTGAAAACAGGGAAGGGGAGAAACAGAGGAGAAGGTTGGATTTTGGTAGGAAATTATAGAAATTATGTTTTATTTTGGTTTAATAACATAATTGAATTTACATTTTTTTTAATTTTAAATCATTTTTTTTATTTAATTTGAATTAAAAAAATATTAGGTCAATGACGTGGCACCTATGTGGCAGCCTCTTTTTTTGCCACGTCAACAAAAGTCAACTTCGCGTTGACCACCGTTTGGTCAACCGTTATCTTTAACGGTCAACGAAATTGACAGGATACAAATGACACAAAGTATCATAGTTCAGGACACAGATGGAATATTGGAAACAATAGGACACAAGTGGCATTTTCGCGATAGTTCGGGTGTTGTAGTGGTATTAGCCCTTGATTTTATTATCTTCTGAGTTATAGTTCTACCTTTTCTTCTTTGCAAAAGATTGATAATATATATGGTTGGCCTGCTGAGATCTCTTACTAAGCAAAAGACTGATCACAATTGTTGGTGTGTCACCAAATAATCAGTCAAGAGATGAATATTAGAGAAAAAAGATATAAAGATTAACAAGCCAATTCATTAGATATAGAGTCGTTTAATTTGATTTTTTGAATTTAACCGAAATCAAACAGATAGGAAGTTTAATGATTTTGATTTTCAATCAAGGTTGTCAACCCGCGTGCTTACCCGGATCTGGTCGAGCTAGTTGATCAAGAGTTATGGGCCACCCGTTTTAGTCCGGTTTAGCCCACAAATATGGAAAAAGACATTATATTGTACTTATCCTGATAAATTATATCAAATCTCATCTAACATATGAGTTATAACATATAATATTCCACTAAAATAACATGTCGTACTTAGATCCAACATATAGTGAAAATTCACACACACTTATATAATATATATATATATATATATATATATATATATATATATGGTGATGACTGGTGTACGTCAGGCGTATACTATATGTCAGGTGATCTAGCCGTTAGATGTGGTTAGATGAGCTCCTGCCGATCTCAACGGTCAATTTTTGTTTTTCATTAAATCAAACTTCGGGTTAGGGTTTAGAAAATCGGTGCCTGGGGTTTATCCATTAGAGGTTAGGGTATAGTATCATACCCCAAACTCGATTTAATTCATGGTCTAGATAGAGATATCTCACTAGTAGTACCTGACGTATAGTATACGCCTGACGCACACCAGTCTGACCCATATATATATATATATATATATATATATATATGGTGCCTTCTACCGTACCCCGGGTGAAATCCGGGGTACTGCATACCTTGAGTATGAAAACACTATCTAGACCTCGAATTAGCAAGATTTTTAGGCATGATACTATACCCTAACCCTTAATGAGTGAACCCTAGGTCCTAATTATCTAAATCAAAACTATAAACCCTAAGATGGTGCATTGATTTTTTTGCCTATATTTGGACGAATCATAACCGTCGATTATTGTTTCTAATTAAATTGATCTTGGGGTATAAGATTTATAGAATTAAGACCTAGATTTTGATCTTTAAGGGTTAGAGTATAGTATCATGTCCAAAAGATCAGTCAATTCAAGTTCTAGATAGCGTTTTCTTACTCAAGGTATGCGGTACCCCGGATTTCACCCTGGGTACCGTAGAACTCCCCATATATATATATATATATATATATATATATATATATATATATATATATATATATATATATTCAAATGTTCAACTTTGAATTCCAAAAATTGAGTTAGGCGAAAAGAAAGATTGGAAAATAGGCGCATTTCGCAAACCAAAGATAAAAATAACACAATTTGACCTCCAACCGGGTACCTTGTAGCGGCCGACCCATTTTTATCACCGGGTCAGAGTCAAAGTGGGTCAAAACAGAAAATCAATAAAAAACAGTTTATGCTAGCGAAGTCAATACCGTTAGCGTGCGCGTAGTCTCCAACTTATGTATATAGTAGACTTCTTTCTTATTTTCATACTTCTTGTTGCTTTTCTGACTCCATTTTGAACTCCCCAAATTATGAGTTTGCATTTTGGATTCATCCAAACTA